GATACCAGTGTCCTGCTGCCTGGAATCCACAACTACCAGACAAAATAGCAATCAGAAACTGGGGAGATGCAGTTCATGTGTGATTTTTTTTTATAACCCCCTTATTTTAAAGTAAGGAATAAAAAGAGATGAGTAATTATTGAGATACAAACTAAGTCATCCACTGTGGTGGAGAAGGGTGGGAATACAGAGTATCTGGAGGGGGAAGGAATTTTTTATTAATTTGATTTTTTTACCATCTTACCTTTCCTAGCACCGTGAAGTGGGTGCATATGTGACATCCACAGCTTTAAGCTAAATTGTTTTATCATCCTGCAATCTAGTGGAAAATAGACTCTGGCAGTGCAATGATGATGAAGCCAACCACAGAGGAAATAAAAATAATTAAATATATGAGAGTCGTGATGTATTTGGAAAAGATTCCATGGGAGAACAAAAAAATAAGCTCACTATTAAGGCCTTGTCAAAAAAAAAAAAAGAGAAAGCCAGTTTTATGAAAAAGATCTTTTAGTACTTTTAGTACTTTTTTGCTCCAAATCAGAATAAGTCTTCATTTGCTCAAGTGTTTTTTGCATAACATAGTTCTGAACATTTGCAAAGAATCTGCATGTTCATCATTCCTTTTGCTTTTTCTTTTGCTTTTTGTCTGCTTAGGGCAATAGAGGAAGAGGGGTTTATCCTTTTCCTCGAGTGTTCTTCTTCTTCTTTTCACTTTTGTCACACTTTCTTTTCCATTTTTTTGAGATACTGCTATTTCTGTAGGAGGAGGATGGGGGAAATTTGGGGAAACATAATTTCCCATAAGAAAACAAAACAACCCAAAAAACCCCAAGCCATAAATATTTCCAACCTCAAATTCTTATCCCCACCTTATGGTATTCTGCTTTGTTCAGTGGCTTAATTCCTTGTGCATTAAGCACCTTATAAATGAGACAAGCGACATTGAAATCCATTTAGTTTTCAATCCCAGTAACACCAGGAAAGATGGTCATCAGTACCAGGAGCTTAATTTTTTTTTGTGAGCTTGGTAGTGTTTATGCAGAGATTCTTTGCCAAGCTGTTGTGTCAACACATCCCACTGTATATCACCTTTTGATTTTCCTCAGTGCCATGAAAAGCCCCACTGCCATCTCTGGTGCTCTGCAGAGAGGATGTGGGGGACTTAAAGAGTTCCCTGTTGCCACATCAATCCTCTGTAGCGCAGTTGAGACACATTCAGATTCACTCTTTATGTTGCCTTAATGGGTCTCACATTTGTCCAAAGGGTTTTTCGGAGTCTGCAGGTGCTGAGAAAGATTGGAATGTTTCGTTTGTGACTAATTATCTGACTATATGTATATTAAAAAAAATAATTTTCAGAAACACAACTAAATGATTGACTGAATAAAATATACTAGCAAGCTAAGAAGAATGAATGTTGCTCAATGGCAGCATAAATCCATCCTGTTCTAGGCTGTTTTAGTCCCTCTTCCAAACATTCCTCCCATTGGTGTGCTCATTCTCCCTTATCTTACCAGAAGGTGGACACCATGGTCCAGGAGTGGAGTAGGGCCTTCCCCTTTCCAGCAGCACTGAACTGTAGGGTGCACTCCTCACTGCAACATGTGAAGCCGTGCTGTAAAGGTGCGATTTGGCAAAGCTGACTTCACATCTAGCTGCTGCTAGAAAGGTGAGGTCCTGCTTCTCTTCTTGAAACCCCAGAAGACAAATTTCAATTGCTCTGCTTCCAGCCTCTGCAGAGCAGCAAAAGAATGAACTATGTAGAAAAGAAAAACAAACCAAAACCAACAAAAACCAACATGTATTTTTGCTCTGGCTTAGTTCTGTGATCTGGCACACCATGAGCTCAGCCAAGCACCGGTGACAAAGATGCAGCAGGAGGATTTGGCCGGAGCTAATGTAAAGGCTGCTTGTCTTGGCAGGGGTGAACTCTCTCCCATCCCAGCTCTCCATCTTCTACAGTAACACCCTACCTGACAGAGCAGGGGTCCCCGAAGCATCCTACAGTGGGGCGCGTTATAACAGTGACCTTGAAAGAAACCCTGCTGGTCAAATGTTGCCCTTTGAGGTCATTATGTTTAATGACAGCCTGGAGCAGCATCCGCTCGGTACCTGTAAGCACAACTACGTATTTTCTTTCTCGGGAGTTCCGGTGTCTGAAAATCTGGCTCGTAGCCCCTGTCTCCTTGGTGCCTCCTTGGTTCCTCTCAGAGGATTGCACACAGTGCCCAGCCAGTCTGCCTATGTTGAAGGTATATTTGAGATCTACTGCTACTGAGCTTCTGGGTATTTGATTTGCGTGCTCCAATAACCACCAAATCTCCTCTGAGTCCCTGTTGCAAGCTTGGTCACATCTGGTGGTGAGGGAGGGAACACTTTCCTCTGAGGGTGGTTCAGCACCTGGAGAGGCTGGGCAATTTCCAGCCTTGGAGATGTTCAGGAGTCACCCGGGCAAGGTGCTGAGTAGCCCCAGGTAGGGTTAGATTCAGCCCAGCTATGAGGAGGGGTGGTTGGACTGACTCAAGACCTCCAGAGGTCCCATCCCACCTTTATCTATCTGCGAAGCTAAAGAGTCACTCATTTGCTTTCGCTGGCAGTGCAGTTTGGTCATTTTTTTTTACACAGTTGTTATCATTCATCAGACTGTTGCTTGGTTTCAAAATTCGGAGATGGCTATGACAAAATAAGCCTTTAAAGGAAGTATCTTCTTTCTACTGCTGTGACTATTTGCAGGATCTGGATTGCTCTTGGACTAACGAAGATCTCATTGTTTCCTCCCACTTGCCAGCTTGTACAGCAAGTACAGCTTGCCAGCATGCTATCCAATTAACTTGCCTGAAAAATACATTACGGAGTAAACCTGCAATATGAAAATAAGCAAAAATATTGCCACTGCAGCTCTGCCAGAGCCTCCTTGCCCTGCTTTACCAGCTATACATCTCTGTGGCTGCTCAAATGCCTACATAGGTGAGAAGGGGGAAAGTCAATTTAAAAAAAAAAAAAGCTACTTAAATGCCACCTCTGTCACCTGGATATCTCACACAGAAACCCTTTGTGTATTAGTTGTGCTTCCCCGGTAAGCAAAAACGTGAACTGCAGCAAGTGAAAAAATTCTACGGTGAGAAAATAATTTGATGTGTTTTTATTACTGTGACTCAGCTGACTTCTGGAGAATAAAGACAAACAAGAATCAAAGTTCTGATGTTTATCAAGATCTCGCTCTTCAACAGACTTTTGAACCAGGGCAACGAGATGGCTGGTTGCAGGAAGTTCAAAACAAAAATAAAATAGTCAGTGATTTTTGATCCCTGAGGGTAATATTGGCCACTTCTCAGTTCCTTTAAATGGGGTGTTTCACAAGACTTGTGTGCCAGCTATAAATGTGGGCAAGTGAGCCGCCTCTCGCAAACAGCAGCTCTGCACTGGAGGGAGTGCCGTCAGCTCTCCGCATCCACGACGCTTCACATCAAGGTGAGATGCACACGTTTTACACGAAAAAAATTCAGTGGCTTCCTGGGCAGCTACTGTGAAATGCAGTTGAAGAGAAAGAGGTTCAAGTGTTGGGATGAGAGCTGCAATGTGTACGTGAGGATCTGATGTCTGTATTTGCAGAAGGTTACCGCATCTTTCGGGTGATGAGAAGGCAGCTGCAGGATAAATGTGCCTTACAAAGGGAGAGAGCGGAGAGAGTCATTGCTATGAAATTCAAAGGGGTGCAAGTGAGAACATCTTACAAATTAATCTTGGGCATAGGATCTTATGCTGTGTCAGCAAAATCAACAGGCTTATTATTATTACTTTTTCTACAGGCAGAAGGTCATTATAGTAGTGCTCAGTGATCAATAAATTAAATTTTAATAAAGCCTCCATAAATTCAGTTATAACTATGAAAAAATGCTTAAATGTTTTTAATCTCATAGGGAGATTTTTTTTAAAAAAGTGAGATTTAAGTGAGATTTTATTTTAAATGTTGATTATCTTGCTCAAGTCTTGCAATTTTAGTCTGATTTTTAATCTTACTTATGCAGATCTGATCTTCTTCCATCCCTTCCCAGAATCAACTACAGTAACTGCTTCTTTCCCTCAGATATATTTGCCCTGACATCTAAAACTTTGCTTCAATGACTGTTTTATGGTTTAGAAAGGGAGCTGTTACCTTAATCGGCCACTTGTTTCTGTTCCTGCAGGTGTTACAAATAAATGTTGTGGTACTTTGTCTGATTCCAGATGACTGTGTGTGGAATTAGGTATGAGTGTTTGTAAGTGCTGCAAAATGACTTTTGCAACCTGAAATTTAGCCCGACCCAAAGAGTTGTTGCTTTGAACTTGATTGCTTCTCAGCTTATGTCAAGAACAGGAGTCTCTTGATTTCAACAGAGTTTCATATAAAAAGAGAAATAAGGTATTTCAGTGAGTCTAAAAGTTCAGTTCTGGCCTTAACAGAATAGGCTTTTTTCCTATTTACACTACAAAACGCACTTTTATTTAAAAATTATTTGAATGTCTCACTGCTTCTTTACTTGTAATATTATGTGCATCATGAAATCTAGTCCAAACAACAAACGCCAGTTTCTAAAATAATTCTCAAATGCAGTATCAATTATCAACTGAAAGATTTATCATCAGTTATGTATTTTATTTCATTATTACTTAGGATATACCAATAAGATGTTAAACTAAATGCCCCGATGTCCCTTGCACATGTACGTAAACCAACATACATAACTAAATAAAACTGGACAGTTTTGGTGTACATATTTCATTTTACTTTTTTCTTCCAAATTCAAATTTCTATGTCATGCCCTAAGTCTTTTCCAGCTGCTGCTATATTTGTCTTCTGCTAAAAATGTTCTACTTTTCCGTTTTTCCTCCCTCTCCAGCATTTTGTGTCTGATGTGAAAAGGCTTCTTACAAGCATTGCTTATTTTCCGTTTTCCTTTTCTGCAGGCTGTTTTCCAGCTCCTGCAGCAAGAAATCCAAACTAAAGAAGTCCTACTGAGATGGGAAAAATCATCATTTATGAGCATGCTAACTTCCAGGGTTACTCCAAAGAATTCACCAGTGACATTCCCAATCTGAAAAGTGTAGATTGGAATGATTGTATCTCCTCAGTGAAAGTAATTGGCCAGCCTTGGGTGGCTTATGAGCACCTCAACTATACAGGCCAGTTGCTGGTGTTTGAGGAGGGAGAACATAGCTTTGTTGGTCAACAGATGAATGATAAGATCACTTCTCTGCAGCTGATCACTGAAGATCTACACAATCCCCAGATCACTCTCTATGAACATGTCGACTACCAAGGGAAGAGCAGGGTGATAAAAGAAGCAACCAACCTGGCGAGGGGGTATGACAATGACATCATATCTTCTCACAAAGTCCAGCGAGGTGCCTGGCTGTTGTGTGAACACAGCGAGGGAGTTGGGTTTTGTTACATTGCGCGAGAACATGAACACCTTCCAAATTACAATGCAATCAATTTCAACGACAAGCTTTCCTTTCTGCGCCCCCTTCTCCCCGGCCACGGCTGTGGCTGTTAGACTGCAAATCCTGCAACGCTAAGGCAAGATGCAGCCCCAGCAAGAAATCCAAGACCTAGATCTCTCTCGCTACAACCTATGCTTCTGTTGCTAAATGCATAAACAAAATGCGAGTATATAACCAATACCACTTACTTTATTTGTTTCACAATGCTCTTGCTTTACCATGGCCTCTGCCATTTTTTGCATTCCTTTTTGTGTTGTTGCCATTAAAGAAAATATTGAAAGCAGCAATGGGTCTATTTTATGTGTTGTTTGTGGTTTAATGTAGATAAATACTGCCCTTTCACGATGAGATATCTGTATGTATTTAGGAATGGTTCACAGAGACACTTGTAAACATTTTTCATGGATCTCCCCTGAAAGGTTTTATCTCCTTCCATTCTCACTTGTCAGTAACACTGGGTTCAGGCTTGACTCAACTAGACTTACAGTCTTGGTGAGCATGCCGAGTATTGCTGTGATCCTGGCCAAACTCTAAGCTGGAGACTTTACTTAATTATCACAAGATTGATTGTATCTCAAGGCATTGGTCATACTAATGCTATAGTCTTCTACTGCCCTAAATTATATAAACAAACAGAAAATTTTGATAAATTTGACTTGATTGATTGGTTGATCACAACAGGAAAACTTTCCTGATTTTTTTAAACCTTTGTTCTCTTGATATGAGATGAGGTATAATTTTCATTTTGAAATCAGTGTTTCAATCAGAATGGAAAATACTCTTCTTCTAAAGTTACCTTCATTGTAATTCTACATTGTAATTGTAGAATTGTCTACCGTTGTGACAGTCTCAAGGGTCACCGCATGGTATGTTCTACCACAGGCCAGACTTAAATGCTACCTCAGGTAGCTCAGGGGCCTCCAACACACCAAGGAGTGCCGGGGTTTGTCACTGCCACAAGCGTGCGAGGAATCCCAGTGGGCCCTTTTTTGTCCTTTACCAACCCATGGGCACCACAAGCCACAAACTAGCTCTTTCGTAGGGCAAAGAGGCAAACAGAGGATGAAGATGCAAGATGCAAAAAGCGGCAAGCTGCAGGAGAAGGGTTGCTGAAGCATCTGTAGTTCAGTGTTTTGCAAGCCCCAGAGCAGCCTGAAGAACGACTGACTTTTCAGCGCTCCTGCAGGATTGTGCCTCTGTATGTTTACTCTTTACCTCCAAGGCAGCACATTAAAAGCTACAGGACAGAGTAAACTTCAGAATAAGTGCATTTGGAATATGAACTACGCAAGGCCTTCTTACAGATGTGGGATCACCCGCTATGTCAAGAACCGTTTTGCCGTGTTCAAGTTTACCTGGAGAGCAGAGAGTTGTGGTTCTGTGTTACCACTGTGTAATGGCAGCTGCACTCTCCCAGCTACATGTCCTGGGTTTGGCTGGGATAGAGTTAACTTTCTTACTAGGAGCTGGTATAGTGCTATGTTTTGGATTTAGGATGATAACAGTGTTGATAAAACACTGATGTTTTCAGTTGTTACTAAGCAGTCAGAGCCTTTTCTGCTCCTCACACCGCCCCACCAGTGAGGGCAGGGAGGGCACAAAAAGTTGGGAGGAGACACAGCCCGGACAGATGACCTCAACTGACCAAAGGGCTATTCCATGCCATATGACATCATGCTCAGTAAATAAAGCTGGGGGAAGAAGAAGGAAAGGGGGGACATTTGGAGTTATGATGTTTGTCTTCCCAAGTAACCATCACACGTGATGGAGCCCTGCTTTCCTGGAGATGGCTGGACACCTGCCTGCCCGTGAGAAGCAGGGAATTAATTCCTTGTTTTGCTTTGCTTGCCTGTGCTGCTTTTGTTCTACCTATTAAATTGTCTTTACCTCAACCCACAAGTTTTCTCGCTTTTACTCTTCTGATTCTCTCCCCCAACCCAACCCGGGGGAGTGAGCGAGTGGCTGCATGGGGCTTCGCTGCTGTCTGTGGTTAGACCACGACACCGTGTATTATGGCATCCATCACGCAGCTTGGCATTGCAATGTTTATCTAGCTCTGTGCTGAACTTCTGTTTGCCATGATTTTCTTGTATTTATAGCTAAAAGTGAAGCCCAGAACATGCTGCTCTATCATATGCCGGGCTTTGTTCCCATTTTGAAGCAAACACTGCAGGCTGTGCCTGATATATCAGCCACGTGTGTTCCTCTGCGAGGCTCATGGGGGCAGATGCAATGGTGACAGATCAGGATCCGTGTGTTTTGGGGCACTCCTTACTGCTTTGCAGCCAACTTCATGTTCCCTTGCTCTATTCACCAAAGATCTTCTTTTAATGAGATTTCAAAATTCAGTTCAAAGAACTCTAGGCCAAAATAACTGAGAAACACTGAGCACTCTCCAGATAAAGCCAGCAGTGCCCAAAGAAAGGAGATGGTGTATTGGGAGGGGGAAAGCAAGCACTGGTATGTTCTGATGTGGGCAGTAGCAATGGTGTCACTGGGTATGTGATATGCAGTGTTCTCAGCCTTCTCAATAAGGTAAATTAGACTGTGCGGAGCTCTGTATTGTCACTATTAGACTTCTTCCAGAAGGCCCAAGCACAGTGTTTTGCTTAATATATAACAAAGCTGCAAAACACCAATGCATACTATGGTTTTGTTCCCCATGTTAATGCAACTCTCCAATACTAATACATTTTGGAGTGGCAAATCAAGTGGCAAATGCCATCTTCTGCCCAAACCAATTTGTTGAAGAAATTTTGTGGAAGAAATTTTTTTGGAAGTCCTATTGAGTCGCCTTGGACATGCCTGAGGGATCCCTTTCAGCACCTCAGCACGATAATGACATTACATATGCACTGTTAATAGGAGAGTGATTATTTAGGATGTCTCCAATTATCTTTCCTAGGGAATACACTTAATGATATTTCCTCTGTGAAAAATGTCATTTCCTAAAGAAGAAAGAAGGCGTTCTCTTATTTTCTTGGCATATATAACTGAAAATTTATTTACAGCCAGGATGTCTCTGAATCAGATAATTGTTATCTCTGAGATTTCCCTCTGTTTCTCTTGGACAAAGAAAAGATTACATTACCTCTCAAAGTTGCTGTTACTCTGTGATTTTAACTCACTCATATTCCTGTCTGTCTCTGTTTCTCCTAGTTACCAGAGAAGGGATTTTCTTTACTTTTGGGGTGGGAGGGTGTAGTTGATCTTGGGGTCCAGTGCACTGCAGACTAGCAGGCAATTTCTACACTCCTCAGATAGCAGTACCTTTGAAATCATATTCTCTGATTCAGTACCCCTGAAATCATATCCTCACCCTTGCGGCAGGCTTTAAGAGGCATCTCAGAAGGACATGACACCCTCCGTGTCATTCCCTGCTGCACTTCTCATGTGATGTGCATCCCTATAAAAATGTACAGTGTGACATACTTGCTCAGGAAAGACCAGAGCGTTGGCATCTCAATCTGCCTGTCAATGCAGGGATAAGCCGTATCTGGAGGACCCAAGGCCTGTTAAACTACAAATGGTACTAATATAGAGGAAAAAGACTGCTTTCAAAATAAATAAATAAAAAAAATCCAAAACAGTAAAAAACTGTCACAGAGGGGATTATTACTAATCCACAGTGAAGTTCAAATGGACATTTGAACAGAATGCTGCATAAGGAAGGGTTGTAACCTGTGATACACCAAAAGGAGATGTCTAGAGAAGGCTCAAACCCCATGTGTAAAACTAAGAGGTGATACGTAAGCAGGCTGAACTTTTCTCTACTTCGTTAGAAACGTCTGCAGAACAAGTTCCGGCATGTTTGGGTAACCACAGAATATAAAACTTGGCCTTAAGGTCAGATCTTGTCTACCCAGAAACAAGGTGATTATTACACATTAACCACTTGCCTTATTCTGTAACCATGCCGTGTTGCATGGCTGATTAGATAACAGGTTTTCTGAGAACTTTCCTGGAGCCAATTCCTCACACGAGGTCTGCTCTCAGCTCATGGCTGGGCTTGATGCGTTGACGGATCATAACTCTTGACTGACAGAACACCCGCTGACTGTCCTTCAGTACGTGGTGTTTAAAGTAAGTCATACCAAATGGTATGACTTACAGACTCAATCCAAATTTCAGTCAGAAAATACTGCATAAAAGCCGAAATCTTTAAATCCCTGTGTACAATAATTAACTGCAAAAATGTATTCCTCCTCCCTTCAAAATTGGGTACCACACACATCACATCACTCTTCTCACTTCCTGGGTTTTTTTCCCTTGCTTACACCAGAAGTTACTGTTGGACATTTGAGAACTGCTTGCACAGCAACCTATACTCAGATGACCCTACAGGAGCAATTAGCTCTCAGAAGTGAACGTGTACAGAGCTTAAGGCAGCACAAATTTTAATTTCTACCACAAGTTCAGAGGCAGTCTGAGGAGAAACTCTACAGAGCTTCAGCAGCTGCATATATAGCAATACAATTTTTGGCTGCCCCATTGTCTAGAGGAGAAGGATCCTGCT